TCTCGGTATAGGGGCCCTTGTCCTGTTGGCTTGCTCCAGCCTACAGGCTTGCAAAGAAGAGGCAAAGGCAGCCCACTTGACCATAGTTACCCCTGGCTGAAAGAATGGGATTTTGTTTTACTCTTGCCAGAAGGAAATGTAGTGTTTCAATACAAGCCTCTAATACCCTTAAAAAAAAGGAGAGATGAAAGATTTGCTTACATGACTAATGTTATCCACAGCCCCACTTGCCTGACATGGCAAAAACTGATTCCCAGGCAGTCAGTGACAGGGGGATATGCCAATACCTGCGCAGGAGAGCAAGCATGTCAGATCTGAGGTGCATGTGGCAGGTAAGCAGTACGTTCTTTTGCAAAGTATGGATGTGCCAGCTACTAAAAATCAGAAACCCGTGCTGGCCTTGCAACAGCAATAGCCTGCTGTAACTCCACTTACCTTTGAACGTGCCTCAGAAGTGTCCCCAGTGCTGCGAGGCACGAACATGAATGATAAGACAGCTGGCTATATAAGCTAAGAAACACAAACCACAGGAAAGGCTGGAGCCAGACTTTGCTTTTCCTTTTGGTAGGAAGCAGAACTCCTCCAAGCACAAGTAAGGAATAAGGAGGCATCCTCCCTCTTTGATGTCCCCACTCCTCCTGCAGGTCCAGGAAAATAAAGTGGGTCACTCTACTTCCAGACTGGCACGCCTTTGGTCTTCAAAGGCCAGTGTAGCTTTTCACAGAGATGGATTTATTTTTTTTTTTTTTACAAACCAGTCCAGCAGAAGTCCCTACATATTTTCTAGATCATGTGCAAATAAAATGTGTGGGAGCTGAAGGTCAGGCTATGTGGAAGGACAAAAAAAGACATTTGGTTACAGGTAATGCGTTCCCACTGCACTTGCAGACTGAACCTTCCATTTCTGCAAAGGCAGCAATTAGAAGAGGATCTTATCTTTACTTCAGCATGTATTTTACCCTGTCTCCTCCCCATAAGCCCTGGCCTGATAGAAATTCTCTCACACCGTTGTTTGTTAGCTCTGGTAAAAGAGGTAAAACTTTATTCCAGCACCTTCAGATTCAAAGGGTTAGAAGAAAGGTCCCCAAAAGACTATTCTGCCCCCCCATATCTGAAATGGCAGGTGGGATGAGTCTGTCCACATAAAAAGTCTGGCCAAAGGATGAAGTGTGGGTTGTACGGGGCTGCTCCCCAACACTTGGCTGCTTCTTGGTCACACAGGCACACCATTTTTTCACATTGGTCTGTCAGGTTATCTGCAAAAGAAAATGCGAGCAGAGGATGAGAGATTCCGTATCGGACAAAGGCAAGAAACAGTTCTAAGAGGAACAATTCCCCCAAAATCAATTCTTAGGGAACAGAGGCTGTGGGAGCAGGAAGAGAGAAGGACCAACGTGTCATGTTGTTTGTGGATCTGACTGTCCCCTGTCCCGTCTCTGTCAACAGGTCTGACCTTAACTGTGACCAAGAGCATCAGAAAAGTAGCAGCTAAATGTAAATAGACAATACTTAAAAAAGTTTGCCCAGCACAGAGTGCTCCCCGCTTCAAGAGCCATGTGAAAAATGGGGGTTTAGTTCAGTGACTGAAGATAAAAAAGAAAATCCTTTTAGCTTAGCCTGAGCTAAAAATATTCCATTTTCCCTCAGTCAGTCAACTTCCCTTTTAACTCCTCCCTCTGCAGATCAGACCAATTTCAAAAGAAAAAATTGCTGCTTTGAAAGGAAGAGTCTCCTGGAGGGACATTCAGAAACCTGAGGGTATAGAAGCACCCACCAGGCATCCTTCGCTCATGCTCTGCAAGTTGCTCTTACATCTCTCTGGTCACAGCAGAGGAGCCAAAGAACCCCACAACAGGGTCAGGTACCTGATTTTTATGAGTCAGCAGCTAACGAAGCTGATGAAAATCATACGTATGGAACTATTTATGATGCAATTATATGACCACCTGACCAGGTAAGGACCATAAGGAACATCAAAGCATCTAGTTCAGGTGGCTACATTGCAGATGACTGATTATGGGGTAATGAACCCCGTCCCATCTATAGGAGGCTTAAATGCAGCCGTTGGGCTAATATTATTTCAAAGCACGGTGCCTGGTTTATTTGAGGCTGCTGCTATAGATTATCTAACATGCACCAAACCCTGCACTAGGCAAAGTTTAAAGTGTGACTTCATGCCAGTGCACATGGGCTTTGCTCCAAAACCAACTCCAGAAGTACAGAAATCTTTCCAGCTTTCACTGGACTTTATTGGATCAACCCTGTATCTGATAAATAAGAAGAGCCCATATTTCTTAAGCTTGTCTGAAGAGAATCACATGTTCAGTGGTAAAAAGTGTTTCAGGGGTCCCTCCAATGAGTACTAAATCCATTTTTCTCTTAGCTACCAGTCCTGCCTGATTTTCTCCTTGCCCTCTGCTCCTCAAGTTCTTCCTATGCCATGCCACTGTCAGTCTAATGTGAGTATGAGAGTCTGGCTTGGCAGTAATTTCTGTTAGAGCAGAATGATTTTTTTTGACCAGCCCCCACAACTTACAGCCTTTTCTATATTCCAGATAGTTATTGAATGGAATCTGCCTACACGTGATGGCATATCTGGACTGAAAAATATGGTTTGGGCCTTTTTTTTTCATTCTACAAACAAAACTGCCTAAAAGTAGCAAAAGGAGGAGAAGTCCCAGGTAAAATGAGGTTTTTTACCTGTGTTTAATTGACCTGAAAATATCTGTGTTTATGAGACAGTGCCAGGCAACAGGAATTTACTGCCTCTTGCATAGAAAGGACAGTGCCAGCAGATCTGCTTCTAATGTTTCTGGACATCATTATCCTAGGCCCAGCAAAGCATGCCTGGAAATTTAATTCTTCATCCCTTTTGTTTGAATGGGATCGGACATTGTACCTTCAACACCTCAATAAAACCTGCTGTGCTGTAGCCTGGGGTAGGAAATCTGCCCTCAGAAAGCATTTCTATTGTTCCTCCCCATGGGGGATATCAGGGGAAGGGAAGCCTGCTGAGGGCTTGTGGAGAAGAGCTGATGGCTGCTTCTCAGGCCTTGCCTGGACATCAGTTAAGGAGTTAATGGCATTTGTTTAACTAGTGCTTGTTAGTCAGGTTGGAGCAACTGCAGCCCAGTGCACTCTTATGGGACATTCTTTGCACATGTCTCGTGGACTCAATGATACGTCTCACATCCACGACGAGGACTGTTCCTTCACAGCAAAAAGAAACAGGGTTGGGTTTGGGGTTTTTTTTCACCATATAGAAACAGCTAGCAGAAATTATCAGCCAGCTATGGAAAAAAGGGTAAGTGGGAGGGACAGTAGTTATACATTAAAGCAAATAGATGACCACTAGTGGTCCCTTCCAACCCTAAACATTCTATGATTCTATGATTCCTTAGCCAGCACTTTGTATTTAATAGGTTGTTCTGGCACTTGGAAAAGAGCAACTGCAGATGTGTTGTGCCACATCCTGTACCCGCTGGCACATTCTCAGCTGCTGGAAAGGATTACACCAGTAGAGTACGGTCTTCTGACAAGGTAGAAATAGTCTTCCAATGTTCAAGCAAGTAGCTTTGATGCTATGGGGACAAGTTTTACTCTCACATGTTTCTTTTCAAACTTTCGAAGTGTTCTACAATGGATTTTAGCATCAGGGACATTTTGGAGACTTAGAAATCGAAGTGACGAATTTTAAGACTCAAGTCATCTGGTGTATGTCAAAACAAACTGGTGTGAGCCACTGACGGGCTGTGACTGTGCAATTCAAGACCTTCTTGACTGGGTACCAACTGCAGAGCTGAGCACAGCCTACACTCGCTGTATGCCTGCGGCGCTCGAGAGTATTCAATTCTGCAAGCTTCAAAACCCCTGCTGGAGCCCCAGGGCTTTAGGCTTGGAGCTCCACATGAGGCAGAGATGCAGGATGGTGGTGCCCTGTTTAACCTTTCTTGCAGCCGTGCATAGCAGCATGGCTCTTCTCTAGTCATACATAATGGTAAGTAAAAAAGTGAACAGTCCTGCTGGAGGGAGGGCCAAAACTGCCACAGGAGGACCTCCCCTGCAGACCATTGCACAGCTGTGGGAAGGTGACAGTGAGGAGCAGGTAATGTGGGTGGGCAGGGAGCCTCCAGAGGGGCATCTTCACCCTTGCCAAACTGAGATGGCTTGTCGTCTCCATGGCCCCTACTCCCACCCTTCAGCCTGAGGAGGACTCAGGTTACCTGGGATGGATGGTGCTGGGGCTCCAGCATTCCTCCCAGCTCCAGCCGGGGACTCTTGGCAAGCCTAGCGATCCAGGCAAGGGATGGGAAGAGAGCTTGGAGGAGAATGGACATTGCCTAAACCAGTTTTAAAACCAGCTCAGGATACACAGACCTACCTCTGAGGCCCACAAAGCTCTTTGGTCAGCCTAGAATCTGCAGAGGAGGGAGGGAAATGAGCCCAACACGAGCAAGCATTTCCTTACCGCACCGCACGGCGTTCTGCTCACACACCCACTGGTACTGCTGCGCCTTGGGGTTGCAGCCTTCCTTCTCTGCCTTGTCATAGCAGCAGTCATGCCTGTGGCAGCACCTGGGAGAGAATAAAAGGTAGAGTTTGGGTGTCCTCCTGCATCTTGCACATTTTGTTCAGGGGTGTTTGCACATACTCTAGGAGTACTCCACTCACACACCGCTCACGACAGCAATGTTTGCCCCAGCCTGTCAGTAAACCATCTTTTGACGAACCAAGCATCCTGGCATCTCTTTGAAAGCTCACATGGCTCAGGAGCTCATTAATGCCATATTTTCTCCCATGACCACCATGCTTCGTCCCCCAAGCTTTTGCCCTCAGAAGCGCATGTGTGGTCAAGACATGGCCATCCCACAGAAAGGGAGCTGAAGCGTTCCTATGAGGTGCGTGACAGTGGCTCACCAGCTTAGGCTTAGACCCATTACAGAATTTGGAGTCGGGATGGCTTTTGCCTTCCTTAGTATCACCAAGCAACTTCACCTCTTCAGTTCACCTGGACCTGCCACATGCTCTTTGGCCCATCCAGTTTCTGAGGCTACAAACTCATCAAGCCTCAATGGTGGGATTAATTTCAGTTCACTTCAGATCCCTAAATGTAAACATCTACATTTAAGGCATTGATCTATACTGCCTTTGTGTATGTTGATGGACACAGTTCATTTTACCATCCTGCAGAGAGCTAACACAGGTGAAAAACATCGCATTTGAAAGTGCAATTGCTTTTCATTCACCATAGAGGGAGCTGAGGGCGGCTGGCTCAGCTGATGATACCTGCCCTACAGACTAGTCAGTGAGATTATTTCCACTATCGATTACTTCAGAATTTATAGGAAAACCTGAGCCCACCTGAATTTTATTCTGGTAGTTTAGTGACTCAAAATACACCAAGAAAAGATTCAGCACTTAAGAGACGTCCTCTGCCAGGTAACAAAGTTTGTTTCTGCAAGGATGCAAGGTCAGAGGCTGGAGCCAGAGAGGAATGATCTGCTTTTCCAGAAGCTGTCCCTGAAGGATCATGGGGATAGTACAGAGAAACTGCTCTACTAATTGGGAAGCATTGAGGCATGCTTTATCTTAGTGGTAAATGAAGAGCAGACAGCTTTTAGAGAAGCTCTTGAGTCTTAGATGTGAATGTCTTCAAGAGGTGGGTAAGCTGGCCAGAAGGGAGTATGGCTGTGCTGGCTGCCCATGGATTACCAAATCCAGCTGAAGACCTTGACTGTTATCTTCAAGGCCTGATGCCAGTGTACCTGAAAAGCCAATAAAAGTCTGGGATCCATCATTATATCCCTCTGGCAAAGTGGAACAACCCTGCAAGAAGGATAAAGGTTCCTTGTGCAGGAAGTGGGGCTTCTCCAGGGACCCATCAGGAGCTGCCAGTACCTTACCTGATAGCTCAGGAACGTCATGAACTTCATCACCCTCTGCTGCAGGAGGATTTTGCCCTTTTAGAAATTGGTTTACGGATATGAGGGCTGGTAGGCTGTGTGGGGTGATAAAGCCCAGGAAAAAAAACAGACAATTTTTGAAGTGCAAAGAAGATCCACCACTAACATGAACTCTAATAAAATGACTGGAACTAGATCAGGTGAATTACGTGAAAGAGACAGAAAGAATCAGACCAGTCAGATCAAATTCAGCCTTCAAGCAATGCCTGTGATTACACACAAGCTGAATTTAGTCCAGTGTGTTTTTTTTCCTACTGATTGAGCTCCTGATTTAGTAGTTAAAGTAGCAATTTCATCCCACAGATGAGTCTGGAAACTAAATGCCATTTTTTTCTTGGCTTGCAAAGATGAAACCTGTGTGATGATTACAACCAGACTACTCACCGCATTGTGAAATCTAGAAATGTAAGTTAGCACTAGCAGACTAGCCTGACCCTCCATGCTGCCCCCACAAAGGACTTCAGAATGGGAATAAGCCCTATGGGATATAGGTAGCTAGGAGTTTTTCCTTGAGGAGTTACAGCAATTGCTGTAATTGAGAAGAGCTTATTCAGCCCAACTGGTTCTGTTGGGCATGACTGCAGGAACAGGCTGTGGATCAGATCTTTGTTGGTCCAGTAACGCCTCGCTTCTGGACTTGTCCTGAAGAGGTTGGAATTGAAAGGCCAAAGGAGGGAAGAATTTGCTGCCTTGTGGAAAGTGTGAAAGTCTCAGCTTTCTCCAATGTTTGAGTCCCTGTGCAATGTGTCATATGATATGACAGGGATGGGCTACGGCACAGAGCTACAAAGGGGGCATGTGTCATCTACAGGAGCTGCTGTAGCCCAGGGCGCCCTGGTTAACATGCCTGAAGCTGCAGCACAGCCTCATCCATCTTCAGGGGGATGATAGATAGCAGAGCAGGCCCATCACTGGTGTCTCGTCTATGCGACACAGAGAACCAGAGGCCAGGGTGGAGAGCCACGAATCAGGCTGAGCTGAGGCGGAGTGCCAGCTGTTGAAATCATAGGGTTTGTGAGGTCTGGGGAGTGAATCCATAGTCAAATTGGTAAAGTTGGTGGCAGTGATGGAGGAGAGTGGGGAGGAGGAATAAGGTGCCGGTAGATGGGCAAAAGGAGGAGTTAGGAGCCTGTGTGCCAAGGGAATGAAATTGCTCTTCATGGAGAGCCAGAGAGAATGAAGAGAAAAAGAGGTAGGAGAAATGAGAACAGATCTTGGAGGGGGCAAAAGATGGCCTGCGAATCAGGCAAGGACAAGCAAGCGAGCACTAGAGAGGCACGCTACCTAGCTGTGAGAACTCACTGCTCCCTGTCTGTCTTGGCAAAATCAGGGGGATTGCATAAATTCTGCAGGAGCACAGGATTTGGGGCACAATTCCACTTCCTCTTATACCAGTTCCACCCGATGATACCCATAACTGCAGTGAGGTGACATGCAGCTTACACCAACACAACGCGAGAAAGATGACTTTGGCTCATCGTTTACGAACATCTCTTCCAGATGCGCTGGAAGAACTGCCAGGAAATGAAGAGTGAGGAAGCCTACCATTGTCCTTTGCCACCTTCCAATGGTTACCTCCTGCCTGGAAATGCCCTTTCCTTGCACTTGGGTCAGAGCATGGCGTTAATTAAGCTTTTAATAACCTGCTAATGCTCGGTTAGACCAACGCAAACCGCCAACACTATGGCAGAGCACTGGTCAACAGGTATGGAAAAAATATACAACCGTGTCATCTAGTTAGTGAGCAATCTATTCATCATGTCTGGGCTACCAGACAGCCCTAATGGCTACAGACAGCTCCAGCTGGCCCACAGGGATCAGCTGGCCAGACCCCCCGCCGTTGAGCAAATGCCACTGAGGTAAGAATTTGTCACCTTGTGTGTTAACAGCACAGACACCACTGTGCGTCCTTTTGTTTTGCTTGAACTCAGCAGCTGAGGGGAAATCTTACTCTTCCCTATGAGTTTGCCAGGCCTTAGATGAGCCATACCCGCCACCCTGCCTTTCACCGCATTCGGTGTTTTCAGGGAGATGCTGAGCACCTTCAGGTCCTGCTTTACCAAATGGGTGCTGCAGCAATCCAGGGGAACACAGAGGGGAAGGAGAAACAAATCTATTGACCTTAGGTAGAAGAGATGCCATTACATCTTGAAGTGATGGGACTGTGAGGGTGGAACAAAAGGGAAAAGGTAATTACTGACCAGCCACATCAAAGCCAGAGTGTGGAATAAACCTTATAAAAGGATTACCCACTCAATGGCTTTTTTTCTTTTCCCATAAAAGAGAGGTGCTTAGAAGCACTCTAGCCCTGTCTAGACAGATCGACTGAATTACTCACAAGAAAATTACTCCTTTTGTAAGGGTCTCAGTAACAAACCTGGAAGTGTCAAGGGGGTGAGTAATTTCAGACAGTGTTTGTCACTCACGGCCAGTAGTTTTGCCACTCTGCTTCTTTCTTTTTTTGGAATGGCAAATATGGAAAATAATGTGGACATTTTGACAGGCATGGGGTACTCAACCACACTGATTTTTGCAGTAGTTCTCAGTAACAGATATTAGAAGATTCTGCTAGAAAACATAAAATGGAAATATTTAGGGCTAAATAGGGCTAAACCTGGTGGGGCATTGCTGATTCTTCCTAGCTAAGGACCTAACTAAAAACCTTCTGGGTTTTGTTTGCTAGGTTTTTTTTTTTTTTGCAGCCAAGCATCACAGCTAAGGAATAATAGTGAATGCGCTTAAAGGACCAAGCTTCCCTTTTACAAACTACCTGGCATTTTGGGGCATTTCCAGTTGCAGAGTCTCATTTTCTGCCATTAGGATAAAATCCATATCTCCCGGAAATCAAACGGCAGGAGAAACACCAGCTGATGAACATGTGGCCATATTTTACTCTCTCTGTCTTTTTCAGGAGTGCTGACCACTTGCATTTCCCAGAGTCACCTAAATTTGGGGCTCACTCAACCTCTATGGAAAACAGCTTTTAGGTGACTCCGCTCAGCCCTTCAGTAAAAGAATTACTCCAGATCAGTGAAGTCGCATTTTGCTTTAAAGGCCTGATTATGAGAGCTGGTAAAGGGCTAACAAAACCAATAAACGCCTTAACAGACACTGCTGTAGATGCTGATAAGCAGGTCAAGAGGTATTACTGAAAATTAAAAGAAATCTCTACACCTGAAAGCTATGATACTTTGTAGGCAGTTACTCATCAACTGTAAGTCCCGCATTCACTGTTTCATAGATGAAATATTTCACAGGTAGAAAGCAGGGACACGACAAGAGGGCTTTGGGAGTGAAACATCTCACTGCATTAATGAAGGCAGCTCCGCTAGTTTTAAGGGACAACGGCTCTTTCATGCCCACAGAGGAGTTGGTCTTTAAACTTGGCATTTTTTCTTCCTTTTTTCCCCCCTTTCCTGTCCTGCCAATTCAGCAAAGTTTGGTTTTGTAGCAGTGCGAAATGTCTCCAACAGCTGGGTGTTCTGGAAAGCTCCGTTTCCTTCCCAGCGAGCCACACGCTGCCTTCACCCCTGCTAAAAGCCGCACTTGCTTATTGGTAACGCCTGGCCTGCTGGCTGCAGATAAACAGACAGCCTTGTGTCCTCTGTCTTTGCGGTTTCAAACTGGACAAGATTGCAAATAACGGGCTCGGAGCATGCAGGAATCCACCATGCTGAAGATTTGCATGTATGCTAATTGCAAAGTACGAGAAAGAAACCTTTGATCGCAACACCTCTTAGACTCGTTGCTTCTAGCCTCAGGAATAACAAGCACAGCATCTTCCCTGCTAATGAAGAGGAGGGGAAATAACACCACGCTCTCCCCTGTTGTTCCTTCCCCGTTCAGTGTGAACTAACAGGCAATGAAGGCAACAGGTTTGCTTACTCCTCACAATGGCCTGGATTTCTTCCAGAGGATAACCAGTGATATTCCCATCACTGCCGTTTTCAGGACCTGGGTGAAATAACTCCCCAAATACCTCGATCACTCCCGCTTTTTTCAGGGAGGGCTTGCTCTCTATGAATAAGCACGCATCTATTTCATGAAATCATGCCCCAGTTCCTCATTTTCCCTCCACCCCACAGAGTACCAGGTCCCAAGAGCCCTGCTCTCATCCAGAAGGTGGTTAAATCCTCATTCAAACCCCAAGTGACACGGGGGTCCTCACAATTGCCCAGTGCTGTTCATATACACTAAGTTTCCCCTCCACGAGGCAGTAACAAGTCCATGGAGTCACAGGAGAATGAACGGGGAAGAATGGGGAGATCTGCACTGCTTCTGGACACACAGTTGAGATTTTTCTTACCAGTCTGTTTTATCTTTAGGCCAGCCTTGTCCTCCCAGTCCACAGTAGCATCCATAGCCAATATATGCCAAAGGAGACCGTCCCGTGCCACACGATATAGCCCCTGCCAATTCAATGATTCCTCGGGTGTGCAGTGAATGGGGTTTTCCCAGAGCACCTTTCCAAACTGCAAAGACAGGACATGGTTACACACAAGAATTAAACACGCCTGACACTGATTTTTCTTGAAGTCCATAAAGGGGGATTTTTGGGGGTTTGACTGGTTGGTTGGGTGCAGCCTTGACGACCTAATTAGCCATGACAGCCAGCCTGCCAAGGGGACTCTGCAGGGGCCTTACCTGAGGGCTGGGGTAACCAGGAGGCAGATGCAGTAATGCCCAAATGCCCAAGCAGGCTATTTCTGCAGAGGGAGCTCAGTTCAAGCAAGACTTACTAGCTCTGGAGGGCTAGGGTGTGATTGCAGCTGTATTGCACCTGGCAGCCGTGTGCCCGGTTTTGCACATCGCGGAGCCTGAGCTGTTAAGCTTTGCAGGGCCAATGCCAGCACCGTGCAGAGCCAGCTGGGCTTCACTGCACCCCAGAGCTCACAAACCTGGGAAAGCTGCGTCATGGTCCCAAGTGGGACATGAAGCAGCAGAGGACAAGCTCACAACCAGACCTAACCTGGGCCCTAGGGAAAAAAAAGAGATTTCTATGTTGCCCAAGATGTCTCCTATTATCCAAGTTTCCCCTACTATTCAGGAAATTTTAACCCATTCTCCAGATGGCAAAAAGCTCACAGTACTGTTAATTTGTGTAGAGGGATAGCTACAAGTCCCTGAGCCTGTAAGGTATACTTTGTCAAGGACAGAGTGCCTATGTTAGCCAAGCTGTATGTATATCGGCTTTCTTTTGAGCGTTTGGAAGTGCTGGCAGCACTTAACACGTTGCAATAACACTTCCGTCATTACGTTCCATTTAAGTCATAACATCAGGTTGGCTGCATTAATTTGGGAAAAAAGGGAGCTCTGTGTCAGCTGAAGCATGCGGATGGCCACCCAAACCGGTCTGGAGTTTTCTGAGTTAAAAGTCTTTCAAACAGCGTTGTGATTTCACACATTAATTTGCAACTTTTTTAGAAACCACAGACCTTGCAGTAACTGTTACAGAAACCCAGAGCACCCTGCCCCTGATGCTCAAACCACTGTGATGCTCAGCTGCAAACGTTGATGCTTATCATATTAATGACAGTGACAGGGACAGACAGGAGCATTTATTGCCTGGGTTTACTTTGAAGGACCAAGTGCACTTTGCGCTGCTCTATGGTGCATGGCAAAGCTACTCACCGGTAGCATCAAACCCCTCAGGCTGACTGCCTAACCCATCCGCTTGCTCGTCCCACCCGTTCACAGCCGCTCCAAAAAGAAAAGCCTGCTGAAACCAGGTGGGGACTTTGTGGTGACGCCTGGGAGCTGGGAACCCGCCACCAAAGTTGCTTTGCCACCTGCCCCCGGCTACTGCAGCACGCTTGACCTCTTCAAAGTGCTGTGCAAACAGGGACTAATTAATCCCCTAAACCACCCGAGGACTCAATACTATTATTAAAACAGTTGCTTTCCTTTTAAAACCTAGCCTCTAATCCCTTTGCTTGGGCCTCTCCCCACAGCTCCTGGGCTGGCTCCCCTTCCTAGCCTTATCCAAACCCCAGTGAGGACAAGGAGGGTCTCTCCCCTTGAAGGACAAGGCAGGGCTTTGCTCCCTCTCTGCAGCCCGAGCCCCCTGCAGGAACGAGCGCTGCCCTCCACCATTTTCGCCCCGGCGATCGATCGGCGCCTCGGGCTGTCCCAGCACTGGATTTCGTAGAACCTCTTTATGATTCCCGGGGCATTCCTCGGGGATTAAATGCACATTCCTGAAAAAGTAACCGCGCTGCTCACTTAAACACTACTTGAGTGTTCAGGTTTCGTGCTAAAAACACATTAAGAGGGGTGTTATTTGAAACTAAAGAGATGACCTATTTCCCTTGTCTAAACAGCAGGGGTCTGGACTTAGAAGGGGGCTCAGCTCTCAGGCACCCCAGGGGAACTCACAAGCAGTGAGTTGCTCCGGATTTTGGGTTAAAAATCATGCTTTTTCAACCTGTTGCAGTTTGCAGACCCTGAAAATGTTCCAACGGAGACAAAACCTTCTTTGTAGGCATTCCGGCCTCCTGATGAGCAGCTTGTATTTTTTTTAGCTCTCTTTCACTGACCTCTTAAGCCCGGACTGCTGGACTTGGTCTGTTGGCTACTGGCTGAAAACAGCCGAGGCTGGTGTAAGGTAACTGCACCTCACCCAGAAGAAGAAAGGCCATTCTTCTTTTGGGGATATCTCTGAGGATCAAGGAACTGTAATTACGGTGCAGAGCTGCTCATGAAATTGGAGAGAAAGCCCCAAAGGGAATTGAGTCCACAAGACTCAATTAGTGTGCTTAGGGCTGCATGCTCTGCGAGAGCTTGAAATAACACGGGCATCCAGGCTGCCTCTGATGTTCCTGTTTCGTTCTTTGAAAGTGGGCTGGGGTTTGAGCCGATGGCGGGTCACTGCAGCTGAGAGGTCAGCCCCAGCAAGTACGTTACAATATTCAGGTGCACGGCTAATAACTTGACCAAGAACTGAAATTGCTTTTCCTATGCTGGGCAGCCAAGCCAATGCAGCTGGGAAAGCCTTGAAATCAAGTCCGAGCCTCCACAGCAGCCTGCATTTAGCCACATCTCCCAGTAGGAGCGTGTCCAATCATTAGTTATACTACTAACGGGGCACCTTAGCAGAGAACACACCTGAAGGGAAGTGACCAGAGGTGGATCTGACAATTTACACTTTCTGTTCCCTGCTTAAACGGGCAGTCTTTGCTGTAGATTAAGGCAAGGTCTTGGTTTTTATTTTAAAACTGTACTGCAGGTATAACCTCAGACCTGCCAGTTTAGTGCCGTGTCGCCTCTGTGTGTAGGGGCTTTATGTTAGCAGCCATTTCTGGCTTTTTTTCACAGGCTTTTTAAAAAATTGTTTTAAATTCGGATGAATTGAAAACTGCTAACTCCACGATCTGGTAGAAAAAGAGGGTATTTCTATGAAGAAACACAGATGCCAACAACTTTGTAGCGGAAAATTATCCAAAAAGAAAATGACGCATGTTTATACAACCCCAGCTATGTAAACCGGCAGGGAAGCAGAGCGGGCAGGAGCTCACTTGCTCGGTCCCTCGCTATACAGCCAAAAAGAGTTGAGCAGTGCTTCTTTTTTCTTGCTGGGCCAAACCACACCGGAGGTGCCTGCTATGAAGCAGGCGAAGCTGACGGCAAGGGGAGAGGCTGTCCCGGGATGAGGGGAGGCTTGGGGAGGGATAGGGAGGGGGACCGAGCGGTGGTACTCTCCCCCCCCCCTGGTAGCCGGGGGTCCACCCCCCGGGCCAGCCGGCAGCACCTCGCCACTCTGCCAAGTGAGGCGAGGTGTGGGTGTGCTTAACAATCCTCCCGGGCCGCTGCTCCAGGGTTTATATATACACGGCTCCGCACCCGTCTGAAGTGAAACACCCTCTCCTGCGATGTCCCTGAGCCCCAGCCCCCGGTCCAGTCCGTCCCCGCAGCGAGCTCCTGGCTGCGTGGGGAGAGGGCGAGGGCTGGTTCTGTTTGCCTTAGCATCGCCTTTGGGAGGGAGGGGCTGCTGGAAGGGCATTAGGCTGGCGGTCCCCAGGACAGCCCCAGACACTCAGGCACTAAGCTGGGCTCCTTCTTTAAGCTGTTTGCTTACAGACCCTGGTTAACCTCTGAGTAGCTGCGGAAAAAGGGAAGCCTGCAACCGGGCTTTCTGCGGCTTGGGCTCGCTGCTGTGGCGTCCCCCTGGCAAGGATTTTCTCTTTTTATAGATGACTCTTTCCAGGGTAATTTTTTTTTATTATTATTTTAAGACGGATTATTTTTCATGTTTAAAAAAGAAGATGCGAAACTATAAAAATCCCAACAGAAAGAATACTGTTAGGTGCAAGTACGTAGTTATAAACTGACCAACAGAGCTAATTCTGTGCCACTCCCGAGGGAAAAATACCCTTTTGGCCTGTTGCTGCACCTGACTGAGACCAATTGATTTCTTGAAGCCTTGTCAGCATGTGGGTCTCAGCCACGGCCACAGACCCGCACTTGGGGACAGTCCCCCGGGGCCAGCCATGCTCTGGTCATGCCAGGCAGAGGGATTGGCAGGGTGGCCCCCCCATCACACAGCCTCTACTTATGCGGGGTGGGAGGCAATGGGAGTGGGAGGGATGGCCACGGGTATTTTGCCTTTTATGTTGAAACAGCTTCACCCAGCCCTGCAGGGCTTTAAAACTCCTGCCTTGCTTGGTACAGCAGCCTTGTTGGGGTCTAAGCGTCTGCCCATTCCCCGGCGCGGGCACGGTGGGCAGGGCTGGCTGCTCTGCCGGGAGGGAGAGGAGCCCCTTCCCCTGCTCAGCCCGGGCCCTTCTCGGCACCAGCACCCTTGCCTGAGTTCCCCATGGTAAAGCTGTGCCTCCCTTCTTAATGGCATGGTTTTAAATATTTGCTTGCTAAATATTGGTACGAAGCAAAGGTCAGCAGCAAGTCATTTACGGGGCTGCCTTCCGCCGAGACCAGCCCTGCCGCAGCAGCTGGCACTCTTCGCCGAGCACATTTTCAGGATACGGTACATATCGGGTGCCTTTGATACAGGGCGAACGAGACGGCAGAATTGGGTAAATCTGGTGACAACCGTGAGCCCGCAAACCCCTGCCTGTCACCGCCCCTGTGATGGGCTGCGTGGTGGCGGCAGGCGAGGACGGAGGGCGAGGTGAGCACACCAGAATGTTGAAGGGGCCCAGGAGGAACTGTGCAGCTTACACCTCCTCCCTCGGAAACTCCCTTCAGTGATTATACATTTACTCAAATAACAATGCCAAATCCTATGTATGTGAGCTGTCACTGGCTAATATTTAAGCCTGAAAATATAAGTTTGCGGAAGGAGGATGCTGGAAGGTGGGTGTGCTGTATTCGAGGGCTCTGGGGATGCAGGTTCTCAAAATGAGAGGTGCAAAGAAGAAGTCAGGATTTAAAGCACCATGTGGGGCCTGGCTGAACGAGATGCCCCTGGACGCAAGCTCCATCCCTGACAGATACATGGCAGGCCCTGTTCTTAAGTGGGAACCAAGGGAGAGGTGTGAGGAACCTCTGCAGATGCTCTAAGGGATTCCTGGGGTCCCCGAGCCTGAGGAAATGCCTTTGAGTGCCCAAAGTGTCTACTCTATGACTTGGATTTATCAGAGTCATTTCAGTTTGGAAAACCTATATTTAATCTTTTTTTTTTTTAACAAAACCTTCCTGAACTACAAACCTGATCAAAAAAAGGCATTGCGAATTTTCAGACCACAGTTTAATTCTGTTCTTCCCTTTCCCCCAGCCCCCTGCCCCGCAGGTAATAGATGAGGTTTCTGTCCCCAGTTCAGCAATAAATGCAAAATAAAGAAATACAGACCCCTTTGATACCCAAATGTATCTGCAACATTGGAGAAAGACTTCTGCGGGACATTAAGGAGGGATGCCTGAATCCAACCTTAAAATGGAAAGCGGAATTAATGTATTGTTT